CTTGAAACTACACGAAAATCGAGAAAAATTATTTGCAGACGTAGATTTCAACGAAGAAGAGTTAGAACTTGGTGAGTGGCATTCGGTTGTCTGCGTCGTCTATTATACTTTCATTAACGTCGACATGTAGTACCATGCGCCCGCACGACTGGCGGATTGAAGCAGACTTATGGATAAATTTCAAAACGTTATCGTCTACTGTTTGAGGGAGAGCAGAAGGCATGCATGATGATACCAAGATGAAGCGAAAAATCACTTCTCGGGGTTCTTCGAGCACCGAACACTAGACAATCAACTTGTACTTCCTGGTAAGCTCTTCCTTAGAGAACAATCGCTGGCTGCAATCTGTCGTGGTTTGACAACAAGAGTGCACGTTTGATAATGAATCTGCTTTCTACTGACGAAATTCAAGCCGGAGAAACAAGTTGCCGAGTAGTTAAACCAAACAGGTTACGCAGACCGATCTAATCTCCAGTCACATCGCGAGGACGCTCGGCACAAACTTCAAACTCCCATCTATCACCGCGAGATTCATGCACTATCCCAAGTGCATTGCCCAAAGCCCACTTCCACTCACCGAAACGATGAACGGCCGCAAAACAACCACGCAACGAAGCAGATGATCCAACCCCTACGCAAGAACAGACCAAACTCTACACGACAGAAGTTCGTCAACAAAATTCACAACACGCACGGCAACATGAGAGCTAGATCCAAACTCATAACCCTCTGTCCCACAAGACTACACATGGAACCGGCCAAAGCGACCAGCAACATTCGATCCAACAGCGAGCACCACAACCGCGAAACTACAAAATAAACAATAAAAAACAACGCGGTGAGTGACGGAACGAGCGCATGTCGATTATTTTACTCTATGGCAGCGTAGGATTCAGGTCTCATCACGGGGAGGCGGGAGTTGAGAGTAACGTCCGATAAGAAGAGATTCCGGCATCGGGCAATAGCTCGGGCAGGGCCGACTGCACAGTTCGCCCGCCCAAACTGGATATCGATTCGAAGTGGCCCCCCGGCTTGCGATTCACTGGTCTGCTCAGATTAGAGCGAATCAGCCCCGTTTTTCGAAACTTCGAACTCTACATTGTGCCACCGTGGGTTCCTAGCATTGGCCGTATGCCACTCCTAGTTACTTGAACTGGGTGGGCCTTGTTCACATCGCCCCCCCCCTTCTCGCGACTTACTGGCCCCCGCTTAGATTTGCGAGAATCATCCCCCGATTTAGAAACAAAGCTGCCACAATACTTTATGTCACGTTGGCACCTATCATTGACCGCATGCCACTCCGAGTGACCTGAACTGGGTGGGCCTCGTTCACACCGCCCCCTCTCGCTACAGCCACTGGGGGTTCGATGCTGCGCTTCCGTTTGGATGAACGTTGTTTTTACAACTTGTTGTTCGTTTTCATTCGTCTCTCTGGACACCCACTTGCTTTCTACAATCTCGTTGTCAAAGTGTGATGTTCTTTGAGCTTTGGAATAGGATTTGGGGCCTAGTTCAGGCCACCGCTTTGCAGAATTCGATGCTTTCCATTAGTAGAATGGATAATCTTTTGCATAATCTTTAATCACATACAGATAGATAAATACAGATTAATAAAGGGCTGTATTATTGTAAGTAGGAAACAGAATGTAGCCCTTGTAGTCTAAATACATCTACCACAACATACAATATCAAAGCAAGACTTATTAATTAGTTTCTGTTATAATTCATGCAAAAATAATTTAATCCTGTAAATGCTTCAGTGGTATTTGGTAATTTAGCAATTATGCATGTTCAATATTATTATGATTTACTTCAATTTAAAAGTAATCTAATATGTTGAAATTAAATTTGCTTCCCCGCTAAAAGTATAGTGATCTATTAGCAAAACAAATTATGTGTGTGAATGACATAGGTATAAGTATTTTTCAACAAATGCTAGCAATGTAAAACAAATAATAATAATAATAAATAAATAAATCTTAACTAACTTTATATACAGTCATTTTAATTGCTTCTTACTCAGGAAATCCAATATCTATATATATATAGATATAGATATATGTAACACTTTTGATGAATATATGACTTTTTTGTCACTATTATGTTGATTGGTTTAGGGAGATATACCATTACCCACATTATGAATTTCAATATAATCATTCCAAGTCACCAACTCATAAAAAGTTTTTGAAAATATTTAGAAGATATTGATTGATAATGGATTGATAAATTTATATTTGTATTTAGCATCAATCAGTACTTCTGTATTTTTCTGGAAATTAAATAACAATTCTTCTAGAGTGAAAAGTTTTGAGGTACATTCTCACAATAATCACACAAACTCTACACAAGTAAATTGTTTATTTTTCTTGCACAAAAAAGCATAACTAACCCTTGGATTCAAGAACAAACACGCAATAGAAATCTGTTGTTCAACATCATAAATAACATATTTACTTGCTAGTACAAACAACCTTCAATTGTATTTTTAGCTCATATAACCCAATCATTGGAATAATTGATGCTGATAAATTATTAACAAGATGCTTGAAGAACAAAAGTTAATGAAGAACATGACAAATGAAAATAATGTAGTTCTCTCTCCAAGTGAAAAGTTACTGTATATCACAAACTGTTTGACTTTTGATGAATGTTACATTGTTAAGAGATGTACTGAACTTGTTCTTAAAAGTTTTAGTGGCATTGTTTTATGTGTGTATATGTATATTCATACACATACACACATTATAAAAATAAAATAAAATAAAATAAAAATCCATGTACCTAACATTCTGTCTTTCTAAATACAAAATGATACAAATTTAGTTGCCATTGCACATTTAAAAGAGTTATATATATACATATATAAAGTGGTTCAAATGGAACTACATTCATTACAAAAAAATTACATGTTATTTAAACTAAACTATTTAAGAAATTTTTTAAAAACATTTTCTAATATACAATGAATGTGTTTTAATTTTTGATTTTAAGCAGAATTTGCACATGTAATTAGTAGTAAAGTAAAAAACATTAGTAGTTGATTTCTCAAAAGAAAATTTATTTATTTATTCAATTGTATGATTTATTTATTTTAAAATTAATGATTTATTAATATTGCAAAAAATATTCATGAGGATACTAATTCTTTTATAATGTTTTTGGTGATAGAGATATTATAAAACAAACAATTTAGAGCTATAGAAATTTTAGTGAAGAATTGATTCAGAAATATAAATTAAGAATTCAATGACTATGATTTTGGATTTATATAGTATTTGTATTTTAATAATATAATAATGATATAATTGAGTATTTTTTAAAAAAATCATGTATTATAACTTGCTAAAAAGACCAAATCTGAACAAAAATAGTATTGATGGTTAGAAAAAGAAAAAAAGAAAAAAAGAAAACTAAATTGACAGTAAGAATAATTACAATTAACTCAGAAGGGTGTAACAGTACAAGTTGTTTTGCACATTATGCTTCTAAGAGTGTGATGCATCTCAACTTGTGTTTTATTTATACTTTAAAATATAAGTTCCATAAATCCTTCCATGGAAAGTTTTAAAGGAACTATAGAAGATTTGAAATGATTTAGGGAATTTTAATGGAAACATTCAAAAGATTACAGAAGATTTTGCAAAAGATTTAGAACTATTATAAAAAGTCCAAGATTCATCGTTGTTATGTATCCATGACATGCATTTAAAAATGATAAGATGGTTTTAATATCTACTATACATAGTAACACATTTTTACTTTTATTTAAAGTTTTTTCTGTATGAATTCTTTATTATTGTTTTAAAAAAATGAATAAGAATGATACATCATTCAAACATAATTCGTAAGTAAGTAAACATTGTATGTAAAAATGTTTTAAATAGTATTCTGGAAATATACTTATTCTTTACCTTAAAGTAAAAAGAAATAGGTAAGCACAGTCAATATAATTAAAACTTCCTTTGACTACAGTGGTTCAATCTGTAACAAAAATGTTGGAGTAAAATTGAGCATCAAATGTAACATACATGCACTCTTACTTACACACACACGAGACAGTGGTGAAAATGACGAGGGTCAAATCCATTGAAGCCCCGAACAATCCAGAAGCACATGGGTCATTACAAGGTCCAGTTCATTGTGGAAGGCATGCAAACCCTAACTGTGTTACAAATCCATCGGGTGCGGGAGGTAGACAGCTCAGCTCAAGTCCTGAGGAGGAAGAATATCGGGGGAAAAGGAACAACACACCATCTCTGAGAGACCTGCAAACTCATTCCATTCACGGACAACCCCCCTTTTCACGCTCCCGTGGGCCTACTACAAGGTTTCGATCACACTTGCCACAGCGCATCAGTCAACAAGGCCCTAGTGCCATCGTCGGTTCGCGCACCTGCACTCCTGCTGCTGCTTCACACAATTACCACGCACAATTATAGCACCCTCCCTCTTCTTCCTCTTCCTCCCCTCTGCTGACAAACTTCTCCTCGTTGTCAATTACGGCACAGCTCGTATAGTGGATTGCGGGGGTGATAAAACACATGGACGAGAACGTGCAAGAGCTATGACGACACACAAGCAGAGTCCCAAATCAGAGAGAGTGAGTCTTCCCCTTGTGAAGCGGAAGACTGGACTTCGGGAGGGTGGTCTTGAATCCACCCTACCCTAAGGCCGTAAATGGTACCAGATAAGTCCACCTCGGACGGGACGGGAATACGATACGGTTGTGGGTGCACGTTCATGCCCATGGTCGGGACAGTGACACGTCTGTGCACCTCCCCTGCGTGTGCAGCTACTCCTCCTTTGAACCTGGACCGCTGTCCGGGGGGTCATCGATGACGGGGAAATCGTCCACGTTCCTCACAAGTCCCCACAGGCTGCGCCGCACTGGAGTTCCCATGCGGGTGGGGGACGGTTCCCGGGGGAGATTCCTTGGGGTGGCTCGTCCTGCAAAGGCATCTCAGTAACCGCGATTGCCGTGGGCCCAAATCTGCAAGGAGTCAGGGGAGAGTGTTCGGATGTGATGAGTTAAATAGGAATTTTGCGTGTTAAGTTTTTGTGGAAGTAACCGGGAGTGTGTGCAAGTGTGTGTGAGAGTGATTGCAGCAGTAGCGACGAGGGCAAGGGAAGGGCAAAAAGGAAAGGGGTATGGAAAAGGGAATAGAACGGAACCTACGAGGATAGTGGTGCCCCACTGCCTTTCTGACACATTCCCGTCTCCGCGGTCCTTTGGTTCATGTTGCTGCATGCGGGCCAGTGTTGGACTGAGCTCGACCTTGCTCTTGGTTTCGGTTTTCCGGGGGTCGACATCGCCTTGGAGTTGAAAATTGAAGATGCCTCCAGTGGTCAACTTGCTAGGGTTGCGCGAGGGAGCGAGGTTTGGGACGGTTCGTTGAGAGGAAGAGAGGGAGAGAGGGAGAGAGGGAGGGAGAAAGAGCGAGAGAGAGTCATGTGAGGAGAACGTTGGTGCGGTAGAGTGCAATTGTTACTGCTGCTGCTGCAATGGTTGACGAGGATTGCAGGTGCAGTCGTGGCCATGGATTTGGTTGATGAGAAGCGGTGGAGTTGGCTTGAAGGAGGATCTAGAGTGCTTCGCGAGTGAATGCGTTCGGGCTTTTTGAGGTAGTGCACGGGCGCGACGGGGTGATGACTTGTTGGTTTTTGTGTTTGTGTTTGTCTTGTGTGTGTGTGTGGGAGGCGGGGGAAGCGTTTGGTCTAGGGCGGATTTCGACTGGTGCGCTGGTGTAGCAAGTGTCACATGAAAGAAGCTTCTTGTATGTTGGAGGGCGGGCGGATGCGGGGGTGCGGTGTTTTAGCTCTGCGTGGGGTTTGAATGGCACCTTTGAGGAGACTGTCCTAGGTAGTAGAATGGCGGAGGTGGATGGTCCTCTGGTTGCAGTTGGATTATGCCTCATGCATGAAATGCTGAATGCCTAGGGGATGTGGTGGTGAATGTCAAAGTTCATTGTGAGTATCCGCAGTATCATTTGAAGGTCTTTATTGGATTCTTTGCGCGGTTCAAGGGTCCTATTTAGAAGCATGCGAAGGATTTGGAAGCGATGCTGCCGCTTCGCGAGCAGGCGCATGGAACATGCGGACCGTAATATTTGATGCTAGTTTCACGAAGCGTCTATGCTTTGCGCGAGTATTGGTGGACTTTACTTTAGATTTACTTGTGTACCGTGCTAAAGGGAATCTTTGAGTCGGCTTTTTGAGTCGGCTTTCGATTTTGGAATGGGGAACGCCTGCATCGCGTGGAAATACTTTTGAGAAGTGCGCAAATATGTTGGGTGGCCCCTGGCTCGATTTTTGAAGAGGCTGAGGTCGTCTAGTATTCTTGGATCAGGATAAATTCTCGGTGCTATATGACAAGTTGTTGCGTAACGTAGCTGGCCTCTGGGGTGGAATAGTTCAGGGTGACACTGAAATATGTCTGAAATATGTATTCTTAGATTGTGAAAATGGTAGGATTTCTGTGGAGAATTTAAATTATATTTATCACAGATAATCAACGAATAGATATGATTAGTCGTTACACTAGTTACGGTATAGTGTAGCTAGTCTCTCCTCTTTGGGTTTCAAATACTTATATCGATTGTTGTTTTGAATCTTCGAGGAGAAGTACTCCACTCGTGGTCTAAAATCGGTTTTGTTATTTGGTTACTAGTGTTGTTGGGTTCTTAATCATCCCTTTTCTCTTGAAATTTTCTTCTACTAGATAGCCTTGAGCCGACTCTGAAGCCTGTCATATTCTTGGTGGTCACTGCGCAGGAGACTAAGTTGCTGCGAGCTCGATTGATATTGAGACATTCTGGCGACTATTTCTTGTACATATGTTAAGGCGGAGACGGCTGAATATGGTAGTTTGCTATCATCACGTACCCGTAGATAATGCTGAAGCTTTGCTCACATTCACCATAGTTCTACTTTTTTCTTTTTCTTTTCTTTTTCTTTTTTCTTTCTTTCTTTCTTTCTTTCTGCGATTGGCTGAGCAGCACTCCGGTTGTCTTCAAAATCACAGGAAGGATAGTGGAGTAGAGTGAGGAACTGGGAGCGATGGAAGCGTGCAATTGCGTAGAGCCGCAATGGCCTCCAGACGATCTTCTCATGCGGTACCAGTACATATCGGATTTTTTCATCGCGTTGGCATATTTCTCTATTCCGCTGGAGCTTATTTACTTTGTGAAGAAGTCGTCTATTTTCCCATATCGATGGGTTCTTGTTCAGTTTGGAGCCTTCATTGTGCTGTGCGGAGCAACGCATCTAATATCCTTGTGGACGTTCAGTAGCCATTCTCGAACAGTGGCCGTCGTTCTTACAATAGCGAAGGTTCTTACTGCTGTTGTGTCGTGTGCCACAGCACTCATGCTTGTGCACATTATTCCAGACCTCCTTAGTGTAAAGACTCGAGAATTGTTCTTGAAGAAGAAGGCTGCAGAACTTGATCGTGAAATGGGATTGATACGTACACAGGAGGAAACAGGTCGTCACGTTAGGATGCTCACTCATGAAATACGAAGTACCCTAGATCGACATACAATTTTGAATACCACCCTCATAGAACTCGGAAAAACGCTTTCGCTTGAGGAGTGTACTTTATGGATGCCAAGCCCAGATGGTCAAGAGCTACAACTCAAAAATGCTCTTCGAGCTGAATCTCTTCATGTTACAGTCCCCATACATCACCCAACTATCAAGCAAGTGTTTAGTACTCCCCGGGCAGTGGTGATATCTCCTAACAGCCCAGTTTGTGTTACTCGAATTCGTGGAGCGAAGTACATGACTGGGGAGGTCGTGGCAATTCGAGTCCCACTTCTGCATCTCACAAACTTCCACTTCAGTGATTGGCCTGATGCCGGAACACGTCCTTTTGCATTGATGGTGCTGATGTTGCCTTTAAACAGTGCACGAAGGTGGCACGTTCATGAATTGGAGCTAGTGGAAGTTGTGGCTGATCAGGTGAGGAGATGATGCAGTTCTAACCTTCGGAGTTTTAGCCATCCTTACTCCTTCAAAATTGCGTTGCGAAATAGTGAGCCTTTGCACCGTGATTTTCATGTGATGTCTTCTGTTGTCGTGGTTCGCTTATGAGGAAAGTGTTCTTAGAGGATATAGCACCTACTGAATGCAGGTGGCTGTGGCTCTATCACACGCAACAATTCTGGAGGAATCAATGCTTGCTCGAGATCTTTTGATGGAACAAAACGTAGCATTGGAACATGCTAGACAGGAAGCAGAGACAGCTATTCGAGCCCGCAACGACTTTCTGGCTGTGATGAATCATGAGATGCGCACGCCCATGCATGCTATCATTGCTCTTTCTTCTTTATTACAAGAAACGGAGTTAACCCCTGAGCAGCGGTCTATGGTGGAAACTGTTTTGAAAAGCAGTAACCTTTTGGCCACATTGATAAATGACGTGCTTGATCTCTCTCGGCTCGAGGATGGAAGTCTGGAGCTCGATATTCAGACATTCAACCTTCCTAATGTCTTCAAAGAGGTAATCTATCGGAGTCAATTTTTTGACATGTGGACTGATACGGTCGCTTGTGGAAGTGTATTCCTTTAGGCCCACTACTAAAGTGCTTGACGAAGAACGAACTAGTGATTTTCCGTAAGGTTCTATGCCTGTTATTGCTGCTGAAGTACAGCTTAGACTTAATTCTTGGTAGGCGGATTAAGAGCTTTTTATAAAGCTTAGCTTCGAGATAAATGAGGCAATTATAAGCGTAACAACTTATGCTCTGCTTACTTACCTGGTTCGTTGGAAGTCTGAACTAAGTCACTAAAACACCCAGTGGCATCATTTTCCACATATTACGGGCTTTGATGTTTCTTCAATATCTTTAATGTTTCTTAATCTAAGTATCTCTCTGGGGCATTGTTTTTGCCTTGGCAGGTTTTGAACCTTGTGAAGCCAATAGCGTCCGTGAAAAGGTTACAAGTGAACTTGACTATGGGGCCCGACATCCCTGAAATTGCAGTTGGGGATGATAAGCGGCTTTTACAAACTGCTCTCAATGTTGTTGGAAATGCGGTGAAGTTTACTAAGGAGGGCCACGTGAACGTAATTGTAGGTCTAGAAAGACCTGAATATCCGCGTGACCCTCGTCAGCCAGATTTTCGGCCTTTATCAGGAGACAATCATTTTTACCTCAGAGTCCAGGTTGGGTTTTATCTCCTTTTGATGTGTTTGATTCACTATCCTGGTTCAAGTACCTGCATTATTTGCTAGAAACTGACATGATGGACGTTTTTGTAGGTGCGGGACACAGGTTTAGGTCTCAATCCACAAGACATCCCTATGCTATTTAACAAGTTTGTACAAGCTGACTCTACCACAACTAGAAATTACGGAGGGACAGGACTTGGGTTAGCTATTTGTAAAAGGTCGCTTCAGATCCTTACTGCAATTGCTTATACGCCTTCTTTTATGCTTTCTTTTTCAATACTTTATCTTTAATTATTGCTTGTGGGTAGCCTCGATGTGTCTTTAGGTTGCTGTTGAGGTTGGAATGCACTTGGAATTTTTCTAAATTTCTGGACCTCGATCTTCAACTATCTTGTATAACGTTTGAAATGTACACCTATCTCACAAGTCGGTTGTTGAGCGACAGATTTGTTAATCTCATGGATGGGCATATATGGATTGAAAGCGAAGGGGTTGGAAGGGGGTCGATTGTGACCTTCATTGTGAAGTTAAATCTTCCCGAGACTTCAAGTCATCTCTCTATTCATATTGCGCCTACCTCGCAACCAAGTGGTAGTCAGTCTCGGACAGACTTTTCTGGTGTCAGAATCTTGGTCACCGATGACAATGGGTAAGTACTCGTCCTTTCTTCCACCTGATTTTTTTCAAAAGCATGATTGTTCTTGGAGATAGATGGCTAAATGTGAATTAGGAGATCACACTCTTGCCATGTGTTTTTAGATATTCTTTCTTATACGGACATTCTTAAGCTGATTGCCAACTTCCCTTATTGGCTTGAGATCTGTTTGTTGTCGACGTAAATTTGACAGATTTCAAACCTTTGAATGCAGTGTGAACAGGATGGTAACGCGAGGCTTGCTAATGAGACTAGGGTGTGAAGTGACTTTGGCGGCATCTGGACGGGAATGTCTGCAATTAATCCAACAGCGAAACCAGGCATTTAACGTGCTTCTACTTGATGTGTGCATGCCGGAGATGGATGGATATGAAGTTGCTACTCAAATTCAAAAAAGATTAACACGTCGCGATCGGCCGCTTCTTGTTGCCCTTACGGCCAACACTGATCGTATCACCCATGAGAAATGTCTTCGTCTGGGCATGGACGGAGTGGTCACAAAGCCTATTTCGTTAGAAAAGATGCGATTGGTGCTCACAGAGCTTTTGGAACGAGGCTCCATTTCTGAACTTACTCAAAGATTATGATATTAGTTGTTGAATTCATATCCCCCTAATTTGAAAGGCAAACGAAGTTCCATTTATTCTGTACATGCGAAATGCGCCTGGGAAATGTGTAATTTCATTAGCCAACACATATAGAATTTACTGTCTAACAAGTCAGACAGGTTCAAGGTCTGGCCACGAGAGTTGCTCACAGCTTGCATGGAGACATGTGAAGAGAAAACAGGGGTATGTATAGTACTGAGTATTCGAAGGTTTCACACGGTTCTGTTACCCCGCTTAGCCGTGCCGCATTGATCCACATTAAAAAAACATACAATGCAATCTAGTGGGACGCTTCTCTCATGCAAGTGTATGGTCTCTCCCCATGTGAAGTAAATCCTCTCCCCCAACAGATCATCTTCGAAAAAATCTTTTTGCTCTCATATGTGGTCCTAGTTCACGTATGATTCTTTAAAGTTTTTTTTAACACGGGATCCCCTCCCCCTCCGCTTTCTCACCTAAAGATTGAAAACAATATAATCTCTTTACATATTCGTTGAGAAAGACATGGCTTCAGCACGACATTGCTGTTGTAGGTCAAATACGATCATTTGAAAATTGATGTCAAATGGAATTATTTTAAGAAGAATCTGTTTGTAGATAGTTATTTTTCTACAACAGAAATTTTGTTGAGGAAAACCATTCACTCAAATGAATACTGGTTCAGGAGAAGAAGACACATCGTTTAGTGCTTGAACACATTTGCAATCAAGAGCAAATAAGCCATTTAATTTTTAGTTCTAACACTATTAGGTATCTTTCATTTTGATTATACGTGCGTTATATTTATATCTTAACTATTAATTCATAGCATGTGGAAATCAGATTGGTAACAATTATTTGTCCATACATGGAAAAGAAAAGAAAATCTGTGAGATTAAAGTGTATTTTCCCTAATAAGTTCATACTAAAATCTGTTGAAGTATTCAATTAATTATTTAAAAATTGATGGTCACCATTTATGAACTCCTAAGGTAATATTTTGTGTACCAGTGTTAAATAATAAATTGTGTGGCATGTATTGTTTTGTTAAATTGTGGCTCCAAAATTGAGATACCAGATAGAGATTCACAGAATTTATAAATAAATAAATAAATAAAATTATATATGCTTTAACAAATTTGAACTTATGTTCACTGTTGCCAAGTCTTTGACCAGAAGCCGTTTGAATAAAACACTAGCGTTCAAACAGAACTCCACTTTCTTTTCATTGTTTCTTTTTGCTAATAGCTTTGCTTTTCTCCACAAGTTGGCATTTTGCCCACAACTTGTGATTCTTGTAAAGTTTTCAGTTATGTACTTACACTCATAAAAGCAACTTTATCATACATGTTGATTTTAAAATACTCAAACAATGAAGTGTTTCATGGAACTAAGTTTTTTTTTCTAGGCAATTTGTCTTGGGTCCAATTCACACTTGTCACCAACAATCTGAACCTTCATTGCCTTAAATATATAAAAAAATTGTTCCTTTTCTATTCAGCTTGTGATATGCATAGCGATCAATCCATATCATCAATTGTTACAGCCAAAGCAAGGAATGTGCATTCTAAACAAGCTCCCGTGAAATCCTAAACCCTAAATCAGGTAGCAGAACTGCAGAATTTATGGTCTCTTATTAAACCTGTCCATTAAGGGATTCAGACTTGGCACATTTGGGTAATATTTCACCTGTGATGAGATTTCTAAGTATCATTTGATACTTGGAATATCACTTGATACTTCACCAAATCACCCACCTTGTGGAGTGGGTGATTTTGAACTCTAAATATCAAAAGAGGGGTGAATAAAATATCAAAAACTGTATTGCATGCCTTAACTTTCTTCTCTTTGGTTCCATACCACACCACTCTTTGACTTTTTCAAACCACCAAAATATCAAGTGATACTTCATAAACTTGAAGATGATAATAAAGTTTGAATAGTGTTATTCTAGATTTGATATTTCAAGTGATCCTAGAAATATCATGTGTTGAATTCAATTATTTGATTTTGCAAAAGTGCCAAGTCTGAATCTCCTTATTGCACAACAAATTTACAAACTCCCTCTTTAGACTTAAGGTCTATTGATTAATTTATTTTTAAATATCACAATTATGACTTACTTATGCAATGTTGGTTTGTAAGGCAATGAGAATATATGGGTTTAGTCTGCATTCACTTTTCGGAAGGATATACAAGCAGCAAGGACTTTCTAGGTTTTTTATGCCCCAGCACAAATATACTAGCAACATATGCAATTAAATACTCCAAAGAAACTTTATTTAATATCATGTTATAGGAAATAATAAACACAAAAACAAATAAAAAATAGTTACAAGATATTAGTGAAATAAGTTTTGTATCACATGGTAACTAGAAGATGAAAAATCACAATTTTTAGTAAACTACACAAATGCATACGTTCATTCAAAGATTTCAAATACCCATTCACAAATGAGATAATACACAACAATATTGTGTGAAATTCACATTAATTCAATCTCCAATCACCAATCACACTGCTATTTCATAATCCACAAATTCAGTTTCATAAAAGTTTATATCCTTACATTAGGTTAAAAAAACTATCTCTATATGATAGGTTTTATTGTTTATTAACTAGATATACCAAACCTTCTAATGAATATTTATATATCTTAGTTATTCAAATGTTTATAGTTCACACAATGGATTAAATCACAATCTTAATCTTTGGAATCATTTACAGAATGAGATGTCACATATGAAATTTTGATTAATGACCCAAATATCCTTCACAAGGACTTTGCCCTAAAAATCTCCTCACAATGTTTACTAATACGAACGATCCACAAAATTATTAGGGTTCGGTTAGATATCAGAATATTGGTTTGAAAAACTTTCCGTCAAAAAGTAAAAGCCATTGTCATGACGGAGAATGGCCTGTTTCGGTCGAGGCAGCGAACGAAAGCTGTACTCGTCCGACTTTGGACGATATCTCGTACGGTGTCGACGGAGCCTGCTCCAACTGAATTTTGTAACCCTTCTTCTCGCTTCGCCTCCTACATGAGCGCCATTTTAATGAAGGCCTTCGATCTTTGTACCCCCTCCACAACATTGTTGGATCCATTCTGATCTTGGCACATTATGTGGCTGATTGCTGGATTCTTACCGCTCCTCCTGATCTTTTCCGATTATTACTGTACAAGTTTGCCTGCTGTCTACGTTCACAGTGCAGTCTATGACGCGGTGGTGTAATTGTTGCGCTGCATTTTGTTTTGTGGCGATGACGGTGTGGATGGAGGAATTTCTTCGACCGTGAGAGATATAAATTTCACGAGGGATTAAATTGTGTGTGATTTTACAGCTTCTTTTGCCGATTTCATTGCGTTTATTTCTTGCGGAAGTCTTCCTGGAGATCATCGAGTTGGCAACGAGAAGTGACAACGTCTAACTTTCTTAGGTGGTGTGGAAATAGCTGGAAGCATTCTGGAAGGTGCAAGAGACGAGGGGATGACTACAGAACGGGAATTCATGAGAGGAGAGAGAGGAGCAAGGACAGTGTACCAAGAAAGATGTTGCAGCAGAGGAAGAATGAGGACGAAATCGGGAAGTGTGGAGGAATTTACAGCTTCAGCTCTTCCTAGCTCCGGAATCGTACCACTCTCATACTTTCGTGCCATTCCTTTTTCATTTCATTACCGTTTTTGCACAATTCACAGTGCTGCGCGCATTGGTTCAATGCCTGATGCAGGCTACGTGCGCAAATTCCCTAACACGAGGAAACTCAATTTATAAGCATATTTATTGGATTTTGTGATGCCTTTGAATATACGGCAACAGATGTGTTAATGCTGATGAATCAGGTCAGTATTTACGTAGGCATTTCAGAAGCAGGATTTGAACTGCTGTGGTTTACATGAAACTCGGCAACTGCTATCCATATCTTATGTGTGCAAAAATGTTGTGCGAGAAGAAGCCAACCAGCGAGCAGCAAGACAGGGAAATTGGAACCAAGCTAAGGGGAGTGAGCAACGGCTCACCCTCAGTTGATGAGCTTTTGAAAACTGTAAGCTTTCTAGGTCTGAAATTTAACTGGTTCCAAGTCATTCGATGCATACGTGTATAAAATGCTCGATTCTTGAAATCTCATGTTCCCTATTCAGTAGTATTCCTGCTATTGTAAGACAATAATCTGTCAGAGTTTATGGTACGCGTGACAGGTCAAGAGACTGGAAAAGGGTTTCTTGACTCTGGCGGATGCTGTCATAGCTGAGATAGGTTCACGTCCACTTCGAACCCTACCTTCTTTTTGCATGAATATCAGAAAAATAGATAGTGTCATCAAGAATAGAACACGGCTTTTGCAAAGATGTGTTTCAAATGAAATCTTACAATCTTTTACGTGGCTGTGAGCAGAGGGCATTAGAGAAGATGCTCGATGTTGGCAGGTATACTCCTGCCTCGCCTTGTATTCTTGGTTTTGGTTCGACATGCCAAGGGAGTTTTGTCTATGTTTTCTTCAGACGGCTGAATTCGATCCGGAAATTGCTTTAAGATCAAAATTTATATTTCAAACAACGTAATAACTGCTACGGAATGCTTCCAGCATCATGAGTCGTTCACTTTCTACACATGTGATCTTAAGCTCAAGCCAGACCACTAAATATATAATTCCTTTGAAAAGCTACGAATAAATTGCGCACCTAAAAATTCTGGCCTGAAAAAGTAGTGTGCTTTCATTCAAAATGAAAGATTCAAATCAGGGCTGGGGTGTGGCCGGTTCCTCAGGAAGAAAGGGAAGAGCTTTGGAAAACCGTTATGACGATTCACCAAAGTCACCAGAAGACTGAGGTAGATCCAATTCATCACCGACTTCAAAGTTTACAAAAGCGGGCGAGCGATATCGAAAAGCAATTGCAAAGTCATGACTCAGATGCACGGGTTCCAGTTAATGATCGTCTCGAGGAGCTGGAACGACGTGCCTATGAACTTGAAAAACAAGCTCAAAAGCAACACGTACATCTTCTACAGGGTCCCAAGCAAGTTCCTTTTTCACAAATTGTTGAGCAAAAGGAAACCTCTGGGAAATCAACTGCTATTCTACACTTCTCTGTAACGTACATTTTTTAGTTAATTCTGTTTTGTACTGAGAGGTCAGAATCTGTCCAGTTCCTTCTGTTCTCTGATAAAAAAGCTGCCTGCAGATAGCACAAGATAAGCGTGCAGGCATTGAGGAGGTAGTGCGCCCATCCAACATACAAGGGCAACATAAATGTAAATTGGAGGTAAGCAGATGCTCATGCGTTTTCAGATACTCTGATCCAGAAACAGCAGTCAAATCCATTCATCAGAATGCCACACCCAAGGTGGGTGGGTCTGTGATAGAACTTCGTCAGAGAATGTTGTGACAGATGGAGTTTCGTTGCAATGTGTCAACATCTTGAATCGTGCGTTATTATAGAAAACTCCAACTGATTTAATAATGCAAACCGATGAATAAATATTCCAAAGTTTGCATTAAGGCAACTCAACCCAGTTTATGTCAAAATGGTAAATTCCAAAGCGATGTCGTATACTTGATGTAACACAGCAGACCCATGAGCAAACGTGGCAAGAAATGTGGAAGTTCATTAGGTTTAAAATGAGTCTGCCTTGAATTTTTTTGAAATCAGAAGCCACAAAAAGAAACTCATCACTGAAAAAGATGTCAAATACCTCAAAAATAACCATGTATTCAGAAAATGCATTCTAACAAAAATTTGAGTTGGATGCCTTCTTGTCCTTGATCCAAGGCTTCTTTTTTTAAAGATACATATGCTACGGTATACGCTTTTGCGCTATCATATGTTGGATTCCATGATCTAATTGACAGATGCGTAAGAAAATTAAAAATTAGAATAAAAAATGCAAATGAATGTTCCATGAGTTAAAAATGATTGTTTTTTCTATACATAGGCCTAGCTAAAGATAAAAGTACCGAACTGAATCCGCGTCAACTGGTCAATACTTATATACACAACGTTATGACCGTAAGAGTGAGCATGCTCTAGAAAGTACGAGACTTTCACAACTGAGATAAGGCTAAATGAAAATTTGACGAGTACCTTCATACTGCTAGGCATTTCTAGTGGTAGATCAAGCAAGTCTCGCCAAATTCCATCTACAGTTCCTCTTACTTAAATTGTTCTTCCTCGTCGTAGAAAAGACAATCAATCAGATTATCAACTGCAGTGTCAACAAGCTTGAGAGCACCCTTGGAGAGGGAAGTAGCAACATCAGACCTTGCCCGCCAGGAAAAGGCAAATCCAGCTGCAGTAAGCGTCGCTACACCAGTAAGAGCCACGAATTGCCCGAGTTCTTTAATATCGATGCCTTTAAATACACTGTTTCCAGTCACAACCTCGACCCCAATGGCGACAAAGAAAGACATCATAGCCATCCGACCCGAGAGGGTCTCAAACCTGCTCAATAAGCACCGTTAACAAAACATACTATAATCAATGGGGGAAAAAAAAAAAAAAAAAAAAAAAAAAAAAAGGACTCGTTGAACATGCGACAGAACGAACAGGCAGGCACAAACTGCTGAAAACTAGAAAACTATTCAAATATTAGAAAGAACTCCATAACACCAAATACACAAAAATCTCCATCATATGACTCACACAACTCTATTATTCATAAGCAGATCTAAATATCGACTAAGACGATTCATGTCCCGGGACATCCATACAGCATTTAGCGTACAATAAACATTCCGTTCATACGACAAGAAACTTCGAGGAAGAAAAAAAGCATCATTACCTCTTAAGGTCAGCAGTTGCCTGAATATTTTCAGCAAGAAGCTCAAGCACGGAACCTTCAAGACCACTTACTACACCGGCTCCCGCCTCACCGAACGCCCGAAGAGTGGAAAATTTCGGTGGACGAGTGGCGAACTCATTTCTGCAATTATTTGATGCCTGTGATACTGTTGAAGGATCAAGATCCGATGAGTTCAGTACGATGTTGAAAAGATCGTCACTCTTAGGCGAATTTGCATCATCAACTTCCGAGGCAGAACTGCTCCCATGGCATTTGAGACGTAAACAATCCCTCTTCAACGCTGTTTGATTATTCCCGCAGATCGATACATAATTCTTGGTAAAACTTAACCCGTTACAAACGCGCGCGCTCTTCACTAAGAGTACCTTCTTGTACACTAGAGATGGACTATGTGATGAACTAGCTACGCCAGCCAATCCCTGCACTCTAAGGCTCGCCATCAACAGCTAAAAGAACACGCTCCCTTCTACACCAAAACGCCGCCGCTCACTCTACAGCCTCAAACGCTTCCACTTGAAAAACGCTTAATAACACTAGAAGTGAATCACAGCCAGAAATTCACAGATCGAACCAACGCCTGTTCAGTTTGAACAAAACGGAAACAAAAGAAAAGAAAAAAGAAAAGAAAAAGAAAAGAAAAAGAAAAGAAAAAAGAAAATAGCAAATTGAAACACATGAGAGGGAACACACACACTCTCCCAACCTCACCAAACAATCCACCCACAAAACAAAACCTCAACAACAGTGTGTGCTGCAGATCCGATTATGCACACACTTCGTTACGAACTCCAAAGCTGCGTCACTTCCGAAGAGACTAACACATTGTGAGTCACGCGTGATTCGGTCAACAACAACCAGCTCTGGTAAAGAGCACCAGGAATTTCCCGAAAGTCAACAACGAGTGTCGAAGTCTCTCACTCGGCCTTGCCGGCCTCGACGGATCCGCGACCGGATCCGTCAATCATGAGACAAGCCTAATTCTGGAGGAGCAGGGGTCGGACCTTAGCCCTTGGAGATGACCACTGCCTAGGTGGCGCCAGTGGTGCATCATGTGACTGGCGACACCCGGTCATTGCGGGGTACTGTCAGCAGAATCTATTACTCCCGTGTTTAGTAACCTGGTGGCCACGTTGCCAACAGGAATAGTGGCTCCTCCAAGTGTTGAAAGTCGCCTTGGTGTTTTAGGGTGAGGAATTTGGCGAATTTGGATGAAGCGTGGAACTTTTTGGTGATGGTTTCACTTTTAAAAGTTTGACAATTGTGTTTCATGTGTCTTAGGGTTATAAAGTACTTATTTATTTATTTTTGTTCTTGAAGGAGAGCAATCATTGACTTATTATTGCACAACTACAGTTTAAACAATATGGAATTTTAAGTAGAGGTTCAAATTTGCACATTTTTCTATATCTTAACTAATAACAAGCATAAGAAAATTCAAAATAATCACACTTACCAATTAAAAGAAAAAACAAATAATTTGCTCTAGTATCAAGCAACTTTCTTCTCAAACCTTAATATTAATCTTCTAGAGTCAAGATTTTCTTCTTGCATCTTTAATTTTCTTCTAAAAGTTTTGTAGATGATGGTATTTATGTCAACTACTAGTCTACCAATTTTCATCTCAATCCATTTCACATATTGTTGCAGATCTTAAAAACCCTTATTAGCCCTCAAACCTCTACTCCTTAATATCCTAAATAGCTAAAATTTAATAATTTTGAATTTGTTTATTTGATTGAGCTTGAATTCATTAAAAAATATTTAATGCAACTATGTTTACAATTCTACAAAATTGCATTGATAGATTTGCCACAAAATTTATTAAAAAATTTAAACCCTGTTTTATATTTAAAAATAAAGTCCAAATTAAACCTCAATTTATTTTTTAAAAACAAAGTCCTCTAAATTAAACCCTATTTTTTCATAGCACTTACAAAGTCCATACAATTTAAAATTACCTAAAATTAATGTCTATTAGTCCTTTCTTAGATTTTTTTTTTTTTTTTTTTTTTTTTTTTTATAATTTTATTTTAAACCTACTTTATGATCAACAAACAAATCCTAAATATGTTGAAGGTGTGTAGTCTTAAGCCTTGGGATTTGGTTTTGATCCTAAATTACAAATGGTCTCGCTTGTATATCAATTTAGATATTTTTTTTGATAATTTGTGCTACAAATTATCTTTTTATTTTTACTTGAACATGTCTATGGTAATTTTTTAAAAAATTGATTATTTTTTTTATTATTTTTTATATTTATCGTCTTATAAAACAAATATTTTAAGAAAAATACAACATTAATACTAAAATTTCTACTACCTCATATCTTTTATTTATGATATTTAAAATAGTTTTTTAAAAAATATTTTTTATAAATTATTTTAAATTATTAGTCTTTATATATTCTTTTATCTAATAATTATTATGTTTTAACATGGCTAAAAGGTAAAAAAATACATGAAGGACTTATAGTATAAAATACTTTATTAAAAAGTTAGAAAAAATTACTTTAAAATTCAAAGATGAAAAATATGAAGATAATGTAAGCTAGTAGATTAAAGTATCAAGAATTGGAAATTTACAAAACTCAAGTAGATACACAAGCTCACTAATTTTTATCCATTTTTATGCTAGAAAAATCCCAAAATTCTCAAATACATTAATTCTTTTTTATTTCTGAAAAATTCAAAGTACTTAAAATACCTCTTGTTTTGAAAAAAAAAAATTAAAATTCAATATTAATCCAAACTACTTAAAATCAATGCTCAACAAAATTCTAATAAGTTTTGTTTTTTTAATGAACAAAAGAATCATAGATATGCCATAAAAATGTAATTTTGTGCCTTAGAATCTAATTTTGTCTTATATTTATAATTAATCCTCTCTAAGTATGAATGTTTAATTTTTCTAAAAGCTACTACTTAATTTTATTATAAGATGTCCATCATATTAGTTATGCTAATCTATCTTATTTTGTCTTATTTATGGCTCTATAAAGTAAGTAGAAGTATATTTTATAAAATGGCAATATTAGTATTTATTAGTTTTTATTATCTCCTTGTGTCATGGACATATATTTATTGTAATTATTACCTAAGTGATATGAATAGATTGAAGTAGGTAAAAATAGATTAATTTCATAATATCTTCAAGACAAGCTTCATAGACATTACTTTGATTTTATATATGTTTATACTTGATTGGTAGGTTAGAAACTTGATCAACAAGTTAATCACATGCCATACATGTTGGTAGCTTGCGGAACAAGCTAACTATGTGGCGCCCATATAGAAAACTTACCTTGCAAGTTAAGATACATGTTGTGCAAAGTCAATACGTTTTTGGAAGTCCTATAGAATGTTGCCATGTAACTTCTAAGTAGATAATATATATAGAGGCAAGAGTGAAGCCTTCTTCACTCTTGTCAACTCCTTTCTTGCTTCTACTCTAGTTTCAAGGGTTTCTAGTTTTCTTATCTTTTAGCAATAGCCATTCTACTTTCTTTCTTAATATATATATATTTAGTTATTTCTATTTTTTTATCTTTCTTTGAGAAAAGTCTCACTTTTTTATTTATTTTTATAAAATTCTTGTCCTTAATAGATTGACAAGAGTGCACTTATAATATTAGAGCTTTGTCTAATCTTGATTAAGAGTGGATTATCCCTTTCTCTTCATAAGATATAAGCGTATTAGAAGTTGCGGATTATCCTCTTCTAAACTGATATTGTTCTTAGTATTTTCTTTGTTTTCAAGTCCTCTCTTCTATTTGTCTTGAGTGATATTACACATCTTCTCTTTTCTAAGTGTTATTATCATAGAACTTAATGAAATGAAGAGTGCAATGGTACAAATACAAGAGCAATTGAGAAAATTAATGCTTGCAATGCATCAACTTAATTTACCACCACAAGGAGCAACAAGATTGGTAGGAAGTGAAGATATAGAAATGATTAGAGCTGCTTCAACATCTACACCAAATCATATTCCTTCTCCTATGGTGGAACATCCTTCTAGTGTTTAAGAATCAAGAATTACCCTACTTGAGAAGTTTGATGGCACCAGATCAAAGTTTAGAGGTTTTAACAATCAAGTACAATTTTTAATTGAACTTCAACTCCAAAGCTATCCAACTCCAAGATCGTAAGTTAGATTCATTGGTACGCTTCTTTTGGGTTTAGCATTATCATAATTTTAATTTTTTCTTGAACGACAAGATCCAATATTGGATAATCTAGAGGCTTTTTTGGTGGAGTTTTGATCCATGTATGGAGAACATGATGCAATTTGTGTTGCAACCAATAAGTTCCATATTTTAAGACAAGGCAATCGATTAGTAACGTTGTATGCTTCACAGTTTTGATAACTTGCAACTCATATCAAGTGGGATAATACTGCACTTGTTAGCCAATTTCTCTACGGATTACAATATGAGGTAAAAAAGTTAATGCTCAACTTACTTGATCATCAAACATTGAGTCAAGTAATTGACTTTGTTGTGAAGTGCGACAATTGTCTTTTTGAATTTCAATCTAAGAACCGTACAAGTAGACCTCAATATTACTATAATTCAATGGCAATACCAACATCTCTTCAACACATATATTTGGAAGTAGAAGATATGCAAATTGATGCAATATATTTTAAATCTCTTACTGAGCAAGAAAAGACTGGTTGTTGTTAGGAAGGATTGTGCTTATATTGTGGAGAACCTAAGCACACTACTCAACATTATCCAAAGAAGCATTGCAATCATAAAATGAGGAGTATGGCTATCAAAGAAGATAGTATATTGGAAAACGAGTTTTTCTAGCTACAATAAGAACTATGCGGATGGAATCTTATAAAACACCTAATAAAGGTCCTATTTTCTCCTTAGAATCCTCTCTTTGTTTTACGATAAATGTTATTTTAGAACCTAAGTATCACAAAGCCTCTGCCTTATTAGATTCAAGAGCCTCACTATGTTTTTTAGATGAAAAATTTGCTAAAAGACATAGCATACTTATAGTGAAGAAAACTAAACCTATTCATCTGGAAGTCATAGACGGTCGTTTGTTGTCTTCAAGAGATGTTATTCATGAGACTCTTCCTATAGAAGTAGCAACTAATGGTCATAGTAGCTTTGTAATATTTAATGTCATTAGATCTCCTTCTAATCTAGTCATTTTAGGTTTATCATGGCTAAAAAAATATAATCCTAGAATAAATTATATTTCTCATAGTCTTGACTTTTTTGAAAGTATAACTAAGAGCGTAGTTAATCAAGTAGAAAGTCATAAGTCTAGTACAATTAAACCTATATTTGTAGGTATAAGAGCTTTCTTGCATGTTCCAAAAGAAGGATCACCTGGTGTCATTTATGCCACACTTATTTCTACTAGTGGAAAGACTTCAAGTGGCATTCCAAGCCAATATCAAGATTTTTAAGATGTATTTGAAAAGAAAAATCGAATATTCTTCCAAAACATCGTTCCTATGACTGCTCAATTGACCTCAAGAAGAAGCATAATTGCCATTTGGAGCAATCTACAGTTTATCACAAAATGAATTAGCTAAACTCAAGGAGTATATTGAAGAAAATCTAGCCAAGAACTTCATTCGCCATTCCAAATCTCTAGCAAGAGCTCCAATTTTATTTGTGAAGAAAAAACATGGATCATTGTGGATGTGTGTCGATTATCAAGGATTCAATAAAATCACCATCAAGAACAGGTATCCGCTACCTTTGATATTTAAACTTTTTGATCACTGGAATCAAGCTAAGATCTATATAAAAATAGATCTACAAGGAGCATACAATTTGATATGCATCAAAGAAGGAGATGAATGGAAGACTATGTTTTGAACAAGGTATG